AGGCAGTCCAACTTCTCCAGGATGGCATATCAATATGTGTTATTGCCATAAGGTTTGCTGTGTCTCTCAGCACAGTCTGTCTCAAGATCATGGAGGAGATTCCAAGAGACAGGCAGTTACTCTAGGAGAGCTTGACAGGGCTCTTAGAAGGTCCTTAACCCAACAGCAGGACCAGTATTTGCTCCTTTGTGCAAGGAAGAACAGGATGAGCACGGCCAGAGTCCTACAAAATGACCTCCAGCAGGTCACTGGTGTGAATGTCTCTGACCAAACAATCAGAAACAGACTTCATGAGGGTGGCCTGAGGACCCGACATCCTCTAGTGGGTCATGTGTTTACTGCCTGGCACCATAGAGCTTGATTGGCATTTGCCATTGAACACCAGAATTGGCAGGTCCGCCATGGGTGCCCTGTGCTTTTCACAGGTTAGAGTAGGCTCACCCTGAGCACATGTGACAGATATTAAAGGGTCTGGAGAAGCTGTAGAAAATGTTATTCTGTGTTTTAAAATCATTCAGCATGACAGTTTTACTGGTTGGTCAATGATGGTCTGGGGAGGCATATCCATTGAGGGACACACAGAGCTCTACAGGCTAGACAATGGTACCCTGACTGCCATTAGGTATTGAGATGAAATCCTTGGACCCATTGTCAGACCCTTTGCTGGTGCAGTGGGTCCTGGGTTCCTCCTGGTGCACGACAATGCCCAACCTCATGTGGCAAGAGTATGCAAGCAGTTCCTGGAGGATGAAGGAATTGATATCATTGAATATCCACCACGCTCACCTGACCTAAATCCAATAGAACATCTCTGGGATATCATGTTTCAGGCCATCCAACATCGCCAGGTTGCACCTCAGACTGTCCAGGAGCTCAGTGATTTTCTGGTCCAGATCAGGGAGGAAATACCCCATTATCTCATTAGGAGCATGCCATAACGTTGTCAGGAATGCATGCAAGCACATGGGGGCCATGCAAACTACTGAGTACCATTTTGAATTTGCTTGAAATTTCATTGAAATGGACTAGCCTGCTGCTTCATTTTTTCACTTTGATTTTCGGGGTATCTTTGAATTCAGTCCATTGCAGGTTGATCATTTTTATTTCCATCAAACTATGGGGCATTCTTACTTAATTAACACATTATCCAGTACATATCAGTATATACAGTATATCCAGCATGATATTTTTCCCCATCGAGATCTGATGTGTTTTCAGTGTTCCTTTAATTTTTTTGAGCAATGTATATTTACTCCTATCATTTAATGGAAAGATAAGAATATATTTTATACCTACTGTAACTTTTTAGTGTAGCAGTGCATTTTTATTCATAGTCAAGCTTACTACATGACAAATAAAATCCAAACACTTGTAAAGTAAAGAACTGATAATAATATACATATTCTTACACCATATACCTAACCATACCATAGACTTAGTTCCATATAAGAGACATCTAATATAAAATAAAGATTTCATAAAATAGCTCTAAGAGCAACACAAATGTTTAGCATAATTGATGAGAACAAATTCAGATTGTACTAAAAAAATAAATACTCTTATCTTTCTTTTGTAAACTTCTAATCTAACATCACCATATAATGGAGATGAACAGAAACAGACATGTTTGAATTTCAAAGTGCAAAAAAGGCCAGCACATCAAAAGACTGTCCTTTAAGCTCTTTTACTGAAGCATCAAAAGGAAAAACAGCATTCTATCAACATTTTGGGGACACAAGGTTCCCTTTATCTAGGTGATAAACATGTTGTGCAAAGTGAAAAACATCTATATATACAACGCAGCTAATTTGCCAAACTAGGCCCACCTGTGACCCTCCTTATGCTGAAGCTCACTATATTATATAGTAATATACATGTTTCTTACCTGTTAAAACCCCATGTTTAGGATGGAGAATGGTATTGAGGGGCAATCTAGTGTACATTATTGCAGTAAAAAATGGAATGTCTTCATAACAAATAACGCCACAGAGCCTTCTGATTTCGAGTGAAACCCTCTAGTTTTAAGTCATTTTTGTAAAGAATATACAAACCAATTTAGATTTTTTTTTTATATATAGTAATATATTGGGATTGCTTAAAGTGACAATAAACTCATTTTTTTACAGTTATTTAATATTAAGTATACCATGAATTTATTTTTTTTTTTCCTTTGTTTAACCTCTTAGCACCAGCAGTGCGCATATATGCGGCCACTCACAGGTGAGCCTTAATGCTGAGTGGCTGCTTATATGCGTCCCTATTAAAACTACTTGCCATGCTGAAAGCAAACTCCCTGCACACTCCCAGCATGGTAGCTGGTGGGGATTGGTGAGCTCCAGATTTATACTTGCGATCAGGAGTTTTTCAGTCATGTGACCATTGTGACAGCCAATCACAGCAATCACATGACCCAAATGCCAGCTTCCACCTACCAGCTTTTAGAACCTTTAAGGCAGTTGGCACCAAAGGGTGGCACCAAAGTATCCTATCATTGTTCTCAGGCTTCTTTTTTGCCCTGTGCACACTCCCTATTCTCCACTGATGTCCCTCACAGCTATTAGTGTAGCCGAATGTGTCTGTGTAGTTCACCTCAGGGGAAAGCAGAAAAGGGTGGCTACATTCACATGTACAAGGGGGCTTGGAGAACAAGCGTAGCCTAGCACCCTAAAACAGGAGAAAAGTAGAAAAAAGCTTGTATTTGAGAGATGAAACAAAAGTAAGAGCGATAGAAGGTACATTCTACTTACACTCTATAGCCAAACATATTGGGACACCCCTCCAAATCATTGGATTCAGATGTCCCAATCACCTCCATGGCTACATGTGTATAAAATCAAGCACCTAGGCATGCAGACTGCCTCTACAAACATTTGTGAAAGAATGGGTTGCTCTCAGGAGCTCAGTGAATTCAGGCGTGGTACCGTGATAGGTTGCCACCTGTACAATAAGTCCATCTGTGAAATTTCCTTGCTACTAAATATTCCACGGTCAACTGTTAGTGGTATTATAACAATGTGGAAGCAACTGGGAACAACAGCAACTAAGCCACAAAGTGGTAGTTTGCGTAAAATGACAGAGCGGGGTCAGTGCATGCTGAAGCGCACAGTGCACAGAAGTCGTCAGCTATCTGCAGAGTCAATATCTAAAGACCCCCAAACTTTGTGTGGCCTTCAGATTTGCAAAACAACAGTGCATAGAGAGCTTCATGGAATGGGTTTCCATGGCCAAGCAGCTGCATCCAAGCCTCACATCACCAAGCGTAATGCAAAGCGTTGGCTTCTGTGGTGTAAAGCACACCACCACTGGACTCTAGAGCAGTGCAGAGGTGTTCTCTGGAGTGACCAATCACACTTCTCTGGCAATCCAATGGACTTGTCTGGATTTTCAGGGGTTGGACTTGGCCCCTTAGTTCCAGCGAAGAGAGCTCTTAAGGCATGCTAAGACATTTTGGGCAGTTTCATGCTCCCAACTTTGTGGGAACAGTTTGGGGATGGCCCCTTCCTGTTCAAACATGACTGCACATCAATGCACAAAGCAAGATCCATAAAGACATGGATGAGTGAGTGTCAGGGCTCCAGGGTATGACCAGAGGTATGTGAACTGACGCAGGGAAACACAGGCTTCAGATATGTTATAAACAATATAATTTATTAACACTAACAATACATAAACGCAGTGCAATACTAAAACATAACACAGTGCAAACGAACCAAACCAAACCACCCACAGATAACAATACATACAATGCAAGCGTCGTCAGGCAGGCCGGGTCAATAACAATCGGGCAGGTAGGAACAGGAGGAGCAGGCAGAGAGTAGTCAGGTCACGAGCCGGGTACAGCAACTAACGGGCAGGGAGGTACAGGGGGTCAGGCAGAGAATGGTCGGGGTCACAAGCCAGGGATCAAACAGGAGAAGTCAGCAGAGGTCCGGATCAAGCAGGGTCAGCAACGAATCAGTCAGGCAGGGACAGGAACAGGAACAGGAACGCAGGTAACAAGATACAGGGGCCCAGGAAAAACACACACCAAGGCGCAGACTGCAGGTCTGGCCATCCCTTAAATACACCTCCGTAATCAGCTTCAGGTGTTTGGCTAGCTGCAGGGTTGAGTCTCTGATTGCTGAGAGCACCCGCTGGCCAGCCCTGGTACTGCAGCCCACAAGGCAGGTGAGTCCCACCATTACTGGCAAGTCCATTCCTGACAGTACCCCCCCCTCAAGGAGCGGCCTCAGGACGCTCCAAACAGTCCTAGCTGGGCAAAATGCAGCGGCACATCAGGCTGGACTCCGGGCAGCGGCACATCGGGCTGGACTCGGGCAGCGGCACATCGGGCTGGACTCCGGGCAGCGGCACATCGGGCTGGACTCCGGGCAGCGGCACATCGGGCTGGACTCCGGGCAGCGGCACATCAGGCTGGACTCTGGGCAGCGGCACATCGGGCAGGACTCCGGGCAGCGGCACATCGGGCTGGACTCGGGCAGCAGCACATCGGGCAGGACTCTGGGCAGCGGCACATCGGGCAGGACTCCGGGCAGCGGCACATCGGGCTGGACACCGGATCACCATGCGGAGCAGCAGGTACCGGCCACCAGGCGGAGCGACAGGCATCGGGCCCCCAGGCGGGGCGGCGGGCGCTGGGCCCCCAGGTGGAGCGGCAAGCACCGGGCCCCCAGGAGGGGCGACAGGCATTGGGCCCCCAGGCGGAGCAGCAGGCACCGGGCCCCCAGGCAGAGCAACAGGCGCCGGGCCCCCAGGCGGAGCGACAGGCATCAGGCCCCCAGGAGGGGCGACAGGCATCGGGCCCCCAGGAGGGGCGACAGGCATCGGGCCCCCAGGAGGGGTGACAGGCATCGGGCCCCCAGGTGGGGCGGCGGGCGCCGGGCCCCCAGGCGGGCGACAGGCATCGGGCCCCCAGGCGGGGCGCCGGGCCCTCAGGCAGAGCGGCGGGTGCCAGGCCCTCAGGCAGAGCGGCGGGCACCGGGCCCCCATGAGGGGCGGCAGGCACCGGGCCCCCGAGCGGAGCGACAGGCATCGGCATCGGGCCCCCAGGCGGGGCGGCGGGCGCCGGGCCCCCAGGAGGGGCGACAGGCATCGGGCCCCCAGGCGGAGCGACGGGCATCGGGCCCCCAGGCAGGGCGACGGGCGCCGAGCCCCCAGGTGGAGCGGCGGGCGCCGGGCCCTCAGGCGGGATGGCAGGCACCAGGCCCCCAGGAGGGGCGGCAGGCACCGGGCCCCCAGGAGGAGCAGCGGGCGCTGGGCCCCCAGGAGGGACGGCAGGCACCGGGTCATCAAGCACGGCAACGGGCATCGGGTCACCAGGCATCAGGTCATTTGGCTCGCCAGCGGGCACCGCGTCATCTGGCAAGGCAGTGGGCACCGAGTCACCAGGCACGACAGTGGGTTCCGAGTCAACTGGCATGACCACGGGCACTGGGTCAGACATTGGATCGTCTGGCTCGACAGCGGGCATCGGGTCACCAGGCATCAGGTCATTTGGCTCGACAGCGGGGCACGCGTCATCTGGCAAGGCAGTGGGCACCGAGTCACCAGGCACGACAGTGGGATCTGAGTCAATTGGCACGACAGCGGGCACCGGGTCATCAGGTACCGGATCGTCTGGATCGACAGCGGGCACCGGGTCATCTGGCGTTGGATCGTCTGGCTCGACAGCGGGCATCGGGTCACCAGGCATGACAGCGGGCACTGGGTCACCAGGCATCAGGTCATTTGGCTCGCCAGCGGGCACCGCGTCATCTGGCAAGGCAGTGGGCACCGAGTCACCAGGCACGACAGTGGGCTCCGAGTCAACTGGCATGACCGTGGGCACTGGGTCAGACATTGGATCGTCTGCCCGACAGCGGGCATCGGGTCACCAGGCATGACAGCGGGCACTGGGTCATTAGGCATGGGATTGTCTAGCTCGACAGCGGACATCGGTTCACCAGGTATGACAGCGGGCACTGGGTCACCAGGCATCAGGTCATTTGGCTCGCCAGCGGGCACCACGTCATCTGGCAAGGCAGTGGGCACCGAGTCACCAGGCACGACAGTGGGCTCCGAGTCACCAGGCATGACCGCGGGCACTGGGTCAGACATTGGATCGTCTGGCCCGGCAGTGGGCAGCGGGTCACCAGGCATGACAGCGGGCACTGGGTCATCAGGCATTGGATCGTCTGGCTCGACAGCGGGCATCGGGTCACCAGGCATGACAGCGGGCACTGGATCATCAGGTACCGGATCGTCTGGATCGACAGCGGGCATCGAGTCAACTGGCCTATCAGGATCATCAGGCTGGATCAGTTCATCAGGCTGGGTAGAAACATCATGCTGGGTAGAGACATCAGGCTGAATGGAGGCATCAGGCTGAATGGAGGCATCAGGCTGAATGGAGGCATCAGGCTGGGTAAAGGCATCAGACTGGGTAGAAGCATCAGGCTGAATGGAGGCATCAGGCTGGGTAAAGACATCAGGCTGAATTGTGGGCGCCGAGGCACCAGGCTGCACCACGGAAGGTAGGTTCTCAGATGGGAGGCTGACCGGTTTGGATACTGACAGGATAGTATTGGTTGGAAAGAACGTTCGCCTTTTCCTGGTTTTAGTTACCGAGCACTGTAAGTAAGCGCAGGTTTGTAAACGGATGGAGCAGCTGGAGACAGAGAAGAGCTGGAGGATGGAACAGGGGAGGGAACAGTTGCTACAGAGGGCTTCTTTACATGGTTAAAGGCAGGATAGGTGCAGCGAGTGGGAACAGGGTACTGACATGCGGTAGATAGCAGGGTATACTGGGCTGTAACTGGAGGTGCTGTTGGGAATGCAGGAATAGAGCTTTGAAGAAATAGATTAGAAGCAGGACTGGGTTTTTGCAAGCTGACTGAGGCTGGGTGCAACAAGTCTGACCATGTCTGCAGTATGGGTTGAACAAAGCTCAGCTTACACAAAGTCTGTCTGGTCAAAGACTGCACTGCGTTTATACAATCCCTTAATACCTGTGGTGAACATGCAGCATAATGCTCCAAGAAGCAATCCACATCATCCTCCAATAACCATACCAGGGACTCTAGCTGGTCTGCACTAAATGGTGGCAAAAAGTCATTCCTGCTTTCAGGGTACCAGATGAAGCCAACTCTACACAAACCTGAATCAAAGGTTGCACCTCAGAGAACTCTGTGCCCTGATCTACTAGAACATGAGCGATCCGTATACATTCTAGCAGTTGATCCCGGGTATACTCCATCAGAGCCTGATAAGCATATTCTCTGTGATCAAAAACCAGCAGCGACAAATACACAACCTCATCAAGATCCATCCTTCCCAGCAACAAGCCAAGATGGCTTCCCTGTGCAGCCACTTCTGGTCAGGATTGGCCTTGGTGTAATGTCAGGGCTCCAGGGTATGACCAGAGGTATGTGAACTGACGCAGGGAAACGCAGGCTTCAGATATGTTATAAACAATATAATTTATTAACACTAACAATACATAAACGCAGTGCAATACTAAAACATAACACAGTGCAAACGAACCAAACCAAACCACCCACAAATAACAATACATACAATGCAAGCGTCGTCAGGCAGGCTGGGTCAATAACAATCAGGCAGGTAGGAACAGGAGGAGCAGGCAGAGAGTAGTCAGGTCACAAGCCGGGCACAGCAACTAACGGGCAGGTAGGTACAGGGGGTCAGGCAGAGAATGGTCGGGGTCACAAGCCAGGGATCAAACAGGAGAAGTCAGCAGAGGTCCGGATCAAGCAGGGTCGGCAACGAATCAGTCAGACAGGGACAGGAACAGGAACAGGAACAGGAACGTAGGTAACAAGATACAGGGGCCCAGGAAAAACACACACCAAGGCGCAGGCTGCAGGTCTGGCCATCCCTTAAATACACCTGCATAATCAGCTTCAGGTGTTTGGCTGGCTGCAGGGTTGAGTCTCTGATTGCTGAGAGCACCTGCTGGCCAGCCCTGGTACTGCAGCCCACAAGGCAGGTGAGTCCCACCATTACTGGCAAGTCCATTCCTGACAGTGAGTTTGGGGTGGAGGAACTTGACTGGCCTGCACAGAGTCCTGACCTCAACCTGATAGAACACCTTTGGAAAGACTGCGAGCCAGGCCTTCTCATCTGACATCAGTGCCTAACCTCACAAATGCGCTTCTGGAAGAATGGTCAAACATTCCCATAGACACACTCCTAAACCTTGTGGACAGCCTTCTGAGAAGAGCTGCAAAGGGTGGGCCAACTCAATATTGAACTAAGACTGGGATGCCATTAAAGTTCATGTGCATGTAAAGGAAGGCGTTCCAATACTTTTGGCAATATAGTGTATGTTTCAACATACTAGGTTTATTTTACTTTAGTGAGTTCATTGTCACTTTAAGGCCATCCAGGGTTCACATCATCATATTTATGTGGTGGGTACAGCCAGTTGTTTGTGATCACCTGCAAACAGAAAGCATGTACTAATCAATGGCAGGCTTACAATGTCCCTGGATGTTTGCTTGTAACTGCAAAAGTTATTATATGCTGTTAGGGACAGAGGAATGGCCCTTTATGTAGGGACAAGCTCAATGTTTGGACTGATCATAAGTTCAGAGCAAACACTGGCCATTTGGGCATTCAATGTGATGAACAACATCCCTTGTGATAAGATGGGCTGTGAAAGGTCCTCTTTATGGAGAGATATGGGGTATATGAGACCCCAGATCTTTCCTCTGCCCTTCAAAGCATCTGATCAAACTAAGATTGGTTTGATCTGATGCTTTCACAAGCCAGTAATGGGTTGTTTACATGGGATTGAAGGATTTTGATACATTCAGTTTCTGACGTCCAAGATCATGGACGTAGATGCACTCATGATCCTAGTATAACCAATTTAACTTTAGGCTGTTTATAAGTGACATAAGATATGGGAAGTGATTAAAGGGAACTTCCAGACTCTAATAAGCACCCTGCCAGCAGACTTTCACAACCACCAACCAGAGTTGAAAAGAGGCCCTCGCCTTCATCAACATAGGACATGGGTACAAGGTTCTTTGCTGAGAGTCCCCCCACCCCTCAAGTCACCCCCTCCTATGTTGAGGGAATGTGGCTTAGTATGATTCAGGGCAAGTGTGTGTCTTTTGTCCCAGTACCTTAGCACTCTGTATTCCTCCTCTTCTTTCTTTTCACTTTGTTTGGAGTGCTCTTTTGTGGTTTAGCCCCTTCATGCCTAAGGGTAAAACAAATCTAAATGCCTAAGCACAATTTTGCAACGTTGACATGTGTTAGTAAAACCGTACATACCATCACAACTACTTTGTACATCCAGGTGAATTACACCTTGTTTTTTTCCGGACAAATTGGGTTTTCATTTGGTGGTAAATGGTGATGGATATCTCCTGATTTTTTTTTTTATTATCAAAGGAAACCTGGCCAAAAATAGTGAAAAAAAAATATTTTTTTCTTATTTAGCTGTGTGTTTCTAGTTACTACAATATCCTACCACCAAAGAACAACCCATAATAAACTCTCCAGCTCTTGACAATCGCAGCGATACCATATATGTGTGTGTTTTTTGTTGTTTGTACCCGTAGTACAGCCCAGAAACAATAGTGTGCATTTTGTTTTTGTCTTTTTTTTACCTAAAACACACAGACACTAACATTGACATTGACACTAACTAACACTGACACCAATTTTTTTTAATCCTGACCTTTGACCCTGACCTTGACCCAAGCACTAACCCCGGCACTGAACTAGATCAAACCTTGATCTAGGTATTTTTTCTTTCTTTCTTTTTTAATATTTATTTATCTTTTTTTTTCCTTTTTTTTTTTACAAACATTTTTTCCCCTTTATGCCCGGAGTTAGAGAGATACAATGTATCTCTCTCCTCCATTCATAGAGAGAGAAAAAAAAAGGGGGCCAGGCTGTGCAGTGACTGATCACTGTGATAGCCAATCAGAGGCTATCACAGCAATCATGTGACAATTAGAATGGGACTCGGGGCTCTCAGTGACACCGTGGTCTTTTGTGCTGGCAGCACGCCGTGTGGCGCGCTCCCAGCGCAAAGATACGCAGATATAATATATAAAAAGTTCACCGCTAAAATAAATATAATATCCAAGTAAATCAATAAAATTAGTGACTAATTAAGATCAATAAATATCCCATCTGAAATCGGATGATAAAAAAGTTGATAAATATAAGAAAAAAAGTTCAGATGTGTAAACAATATATAAGATAAGGTGACGCTTGTGCTCTGGTGACTCTGGACCCGGTATCCGTGCAATAGTGGTAAGGTAATGCGCACTCACAGGGTGCGCATATTAATTGCACCATATGCTATTAATCCAGATGTCATCAGATAGGAGAGGGTCAGGAGCTGGAAGATCTTCCCTCTAAGGGATAGTGGGTTATCAAACAGGATGCTATGAAGTTGGGGCTGGTGGTCCTCGTCCTCTAGGGTTCCCCCTTTCCAAGACCTGATGTTACTCTCTGGGTAGGCAGATATCCACTAAAGGATCCGTCCTGGAGTAGTGGGTCTTTGGGTTTAGAGAGCTCCCCCAGGGGGTAGGAACAAGGATACTTCCATAGTGTAGTAGGTAATCAAACAATTTTATTGTGATGCATCAAGAGTAAAAACAGCAGCAGACAGTGATCGATCAGGACTAACCATCTGCTTTTTAAAGATGGCCGCCGGAGCTCCACGTTGCTCTGACGGCATGACGTCACGGCGTGATGTTGTTCCTCCTGACGCGTATAATGCTCAAACACGTCCTCACAGGGGGGTCGTCAATCCAATCATAGAGAGAGAAAAAAAAGCGGGCCAGGCTATCACAGCGATCATGTGACCCGGAATCGGGAGTCCCTGGTCCCGATCGTTAGAATGGGACCGGGGGCTTTCAGTGACACTGCGGTCCTTTGTGCTGGGAGCGCGCCATGCGGCGTGCTCCCAGCACAAAGACAGGTACGCAGATATGCAGCCGCATGGAAAATAGCCCAGTTCTGTGCGGCTACATATTTGTGTTACGTCGGCGTCGAGGTGTTAACATCTTTTCCCAATTAATGGGAATTTGCTGACGCCAGGTGGATGGAATAGGTGGCAGGTCATATCTCTTTAGATGCAGATACGCTGGATATGTTCTATAAGATGTGCAGCATCGATTGGCTTGTTCACTCTGTGTAACAGGATTAGTGTCATGACACTTTTTAAAATCCTGTTCAGTGGAGAGAAACTGTTTTAATGCAGTGTGAAGGTCAACATTGAAATCAAAAACACAAATGCCCCTCAATGTGAATGTACTGTCAATTATGCCTCAATGTAAATACTCCTTGATCACCATGACTGCACAATGACCCATGCAATAATGAAGTTGCTCTTCTGCCACAACAACCTGCCATCCAAATATGTTGCATCACTGCACAATTGCTGCACCCATGTTATATCCAAATCTAAAGCTAGTCCGCAGTCA